GGATATTTCTTAATTTACAATTTAATATGATTATTTATGATTTATTTTTGTTTGTGGTTGTATCGTTTTTTGGAAGTTATTGCTTATTAGTGTTGGTTTGTTTAATTTCTGTTCGATTATAGCGGTAATTGCTAGATTTTTATAGGGCTGTTGGTTATTCATTTGCTGAATTGCGTGAATAGTATTGGTCATTTGTAATTTTATGTTGTTTGCACATCATTTGTTTAAAAATTTCAGTATTGTGCGGTTTGATTTTTATTAGATTGTTGTGGTTGTTACACTGATTTGTTTTATGTATCGGTTAGCTGAATTTATTTATTTATATTGCGAATAATTACTCAAATGATAATGGTTATATGTAATTTACTATTGTTTATGGTGGTTATATCGTTTATTTTTAAATGTTTAGTTGTTGTTGGATTGTTGATTGTTTTAGTGATTGCTAGGTAGTTTGATAACGGTTAATTGTTATTTTGCTAATATGATAAACTTAGTAAGGGCTTATTTTAGCATATAAATTACATTTATCCACAGAAATGTATTTTGGAAGGAAGGGAAATTATATTGATTTTTGAGTACACACACACAGTTATTTAAATTATGATGCATTAGCGCGCCATCTGTTATCAAAATTCGAAACTATTATAGACGCGAATGATTCTTTTTAAAAATAAACAATTTCTTCTGCCCTTATATTGCCTTAGCCAGGTCCTCCCATTTATTTTTCCATTGCAGTAAGGGCAGTAGAAATTGTTTATTTTTTAAAAGAGTCATTTGCGTCTATAATAGTTTCGAATTTTGACAATTATTTAAAATTGTTCTTGACGGTAAAGAGTTCCTAATGTCATTGCATAGTGGAGTGCAAGAACAGAGAACACTGAATAGAATAGCTTGAGTAGAATACAAGGAAATTAAATATTAGAGGTCTAGGAACTTGAATTCTGGAATACAGGGCGCGATTGAATAGTAATTACAAAGTCTTTAAATACCTGAGCCTTGGAGTTTGGATACTGGAAGATAAGACCTCTAAATAGTGGAGTACGTGGACTTTAAATACTGAAGGTCTAGGAGCTCTTGAATAATGGAATACAAGCCCGTTGAATAGTGGAATACAATATATAGAATACTGGAAGACAAGACCATAGAATCCTGGAATACAAAGACAAAACCACTGAATAGTGGAATAAAAATACAATGGAATCCCGCAAGACAAGACTATTGAATAGTGGAATACAAGGACAAATAATACTGGAAGACAATACCATTTAATAGTGGAATACAAAGATTGAATACTGGAAGACAAGACCATATATAGAATCATTTAATAAAAAGACAAACTACAGAATAGTAGAATAAAAAGACAATGGAATCCTGGAAGACAAGACCATTCAATAGTGGAATACAAAGATAGAATACTGGAGGACACGACCATAGAATCAGGTAATACAAAGATAGAATTTATAATACAATACAATATAATGCGGCTTGCGATTGTAAAACGGCATTCGAAATACTATCCCGCATGTGTTTCTTTTCAACGAAAAATCAAAATTTATTTCAAGGAGAAACAATGATCATTTCTAACCTTTTGGATGAGGTATGAAAGGGTGTATTGTGAAGAGTAATGATAAACGGAAAAATATGTATTATTTATGAACGGAAAAATATGTCCAGGGTAGCCTAGTGGACATGGCATCTGCCCGGTAAGCGGAACACTGTGAGTTCAATTCTCATCCCTGGATTCTTTTATTTTTACGTTTATCATTACTCTTCACAATTCACCCTTTCATGCCTCATCAAAAAGGTTAGAAATGATCGTTGTTTCTATACTTTAAATAAAATTTGATTTTTCGTTGAAAAGAAACACATGCGGGATAGATAGTATTTCAAATGTCGTTTTACAAAGATAGAATACTGGAAGATACGACCATAGAATCAGGTAATACAAAGACAAAACCATAGAATAGTGGAATACAAAGACAGAATTCGGAAGACAAGACCATTAAATAGTGGAGCTCAAAGACCTGAAATATTGGACGTCTAGGAGTTTTAACAATGGTAGAGAAGGCCATTGAATAGTGAGGTACAAGGATATTGAAGGAAAAGGACATTAATCAGTATAGAGCATGAACATTGGATTCTGGAGAAAAGGTAAGGACCTTGAAGTACGACAATATAGAATACTAACACACAAAAGAAATCGTATACAAAAAATGCTAAATCTGTTTTTAGAATACTAAGGGATTCGGATAGTAAATATTGAACGATAAAGACATTCGATCACAGAAAGATTGGAGGAATGGGTAATTTAAGAAAAAGGACATTTAATAATAAAGGAGGACATTGGTGCCCAGAGGATTCTGTCTCCAGGCGAGATGGCAGATCGATGTAAGAATCCACTCAGAAAAAGGAATCAAATGAATTTCGTGAAGCGGAACCTCGCCGCAATTATGTCCACACTTTTAATTGGAGCGCTAATGAAGGCGGAGGGCTTCAAAAATCTCCAGGGATAATTACAGCGCCGGGAATTCGGCACCGCGGAGTAATTTGGACCTCGGAATGTAGTTCGTGGACTTTTCAAATAACAGAGAGTACCTATATTCAAATTATATTTCCCTACCTACACACTATATAGTACTATCCTATATTAGGAATCCATTGACCCAAACTACTTGCTTTCATTAACCTTGCATGAACCAATAGTCGAAAACAGTTTCATAGTATTTGTAAAATTACATCTGACTTCTTTAATAATGGGCAGCCTAGATTAAAGTATGTATCCATACCATATCTCTTGGATAAAGTTGTACACCTACGATAATTATTGGATAATGGGAAGTCTAGATTAAAGTATGTACGCCTACGATAATTCTTGGATAATGGGAAGACTATATTAAAGTATGTACGTCTACGATAATTCTTGGATAATGGGAAGTCTAGATTAAAGTATGTACGTCTACGATAATTCTTGGATAATGGGCAGCCTAGATTAAAGTATGTACGCCTACGATAATTCTTGTATAATGGGAATTCTAGATTAAAGTATGTACGTCTACGATAATTCTTGGATAATGGGAAGCCTAGATTAAAGTATGTACGTCTACGATAATTCTTGTATAATGGGAAGTCTAGATTAAAGTATGTACGTCTACGATAATTCTTGTATAATGGGAAGTCTAGATTAAAGTATGTACGCCTACGATAATTCTTTGATAATGGGAAGTCTAGATTAAAGTATGTACGTCTACGATAATTCTTTGATAATAGGCAGCCTAGATTAAAGTATGTACGGCTACAATAATTCTTTGATAATGGGAAGCCTAGATTAAAGTATATACGTCTACGATAATTATTGGATAATGGGAAGCCTAGATTAAAGTATGTACGCCTACGATAATTCTTGGATAATGGGAAGCCTATATTAAAGTATGTACGTCTACGATAATTCTTTGATAATGGGAAGTCTAGATTAAAGTATGTACGGCTACGATAATTCTTGTATAATGGGAAGTCTAGATTAAAGTATGTACACCTACGATAATTCTTGTATAATGGGAAGTCTAGATTAAAGTATGTACGGCTAATATAATTCTTGGATAATGGAAAGTCTAGAATAAAGTATATACGTCTACGATAATTCTTGTATAATGGGAAGCCAAGATTAAAGTATGTACGGCTAATATAACTCTTGGATAATGGGCAGCCTAGATTAAAGTATGTACGCCTACGATAATTCTTGGATAATGGGAAGTCTAGATTAAAGTATGTACGCCTACGATAATTCTTGGATAATGGGAAGTCTAGATTAAAGTATGTACGTTTTAAAATTATGATAAGCTCTTGGATAATGGGCTGGCTATATATTAAATCCTTAAAGATACCATAATATTTAGATAATAGGCGTACTATATTAAAGTCTGTACGCCATAACGCTAAGATAACCTTCGGATAATAAGCCATCTAGATGAAATTCTGTGTGCTTCAAAGTTATAACAACTCTTATAAAATGTTCTTCAAGTTACGAAATATTAAATAAATAATATCTCTCGAAAGATATATTATCAAATCATAATGTCATCTGGAAATTAAACGTCTTAGGAAATATAAAGAAATAGATATATCCCTGTGAAAACAACGGGGAAGAGATAAAGAAATGTTATTTCAGGGGACCAGTTATAAATATATATTGAGGGACCAGACCCAATTGATTACGTGGACGTCTGCTTCGATTAATTCAGGTGTCAGAAGATTTCTCTTTTTTTTTACCAGCCGAGGGAGATCCCGTTATTCTCTTACATAGGACCGATTCACAAATGAACATTCAAAAGAACAAAGATTTTCCTAATTATACATTATTTTATTGTTTACTGATGTAATGGCCTGGTAGTAAAAGGTATCACCTTACATTATATTATAATATATATATTATACCATAATATTGCTATAATCAATGATTAGATATGCAATTAAGTCTTTTAAAATGGTTATATATATTCACAGACCCCCCCCCCACACACACACAATCTTTTAAATATAATTATAGAAAGATTCATTAAACCGTTTTCAAAAACAATAATTAGATAATAAAAGGCATATATTGGATCGAATAAAAGATTTATTTGCATTATTTTATTTAATTAAATATATGCCTTTTTATTATCTAATGATTTGAATATGGATTTCTTTATATTCAAAAACAATGATGTATGTAAGAAACGATATTTTAGAGCAATTTATACATACCAATTTGATCTGCCTTTTTATGTGTACAAATATGTTATTTTAAGTAAATCCCTTGGCGTTTCAAAATATTTTAATCTTTTGGTTAGATGTTTTTAAGATACTTCTCTCTCTCTCTCTCTCTCTCTCTCTCTCTCTTATATTATGATGCATTAGCGCGCCAACTGTAATGAAAATTCAAAACATTATAGACACGTATGATTGCATCTAATTCAGAGAGGGCAGTAGAAATTTTTTTAATTTTTAAAAGAATCATAGGCGTCTATAATAGTCGGTGGAAGGCTGGTTAAACCGTTTGGTTTTCGACCACTACGACCCGGGTTCGATTCCCGCATTGGACACTTTTTATGTTTAAAAAAAAAATGCTCCAATGGCCCCCCGATTCTTGCAGAAGTCCAACCCCACCAGCGAGTGCAAGTAACCAAACGGGGCTCTGGCACATTTGTAAGTGCAAAGTCGAACTGCTTTTCACATTGGAAGACATGTGGTGCGCTTACAGTAAAAAAGCAGTCGCTAACTACCCACCATGATTATCATGGCCTGTACCACGTGTACTAGGGATAAGCAAAAAAAAAAAAAATAATAATAAAATAAAATAAAAAAATAGAGAGAGACTACAACCAATATATATCATGGAGAAGAAAATTAATGAGAATGCCATGGAAATATGTTTCAATCTTAAATGAAATTAATCCTGTTAAACCCCTAGTATCTCATATATCTCATATAGAAAATTTATAAAGAGAATCCTAAACAAAGAATGATCTTCTTCGGACATAAATAGAACAAAGAAAATATAAAAATGTTGAGAAATATTTAAGAAGGAATAGAGGAAGACCTGCGATGAGCTGGCTGAAAGGAATCAAGAAAGCTACCAGAAGGTCACTAGATGAGCTAAGTGTTATAGAATAAAGCGTTAGGAGAAAATAATTTTTAAAAATAAAATAATATTTTCTCTTAACGCTTTATTCTATAGTATTTATAATCCAAGGAGAAAGTTTCCATGTTTAAAAAAAGATGAGCTAAGTGTGATGGTCACTAACCGATCATATTGAAGAAAATGTGTCCATATAGTCATTAAAAGTCGAATTTGACTTGATAGACGCTAACAACAATTATATTATGATGCATTAGTGCGCCATCTGTTATGAAATTTCGAAGGAACCATAGGAGGAACCATAGTTCCTCTAAAAATACCCATTCCAAGATCTAAAAACAGTATCACTATAAAAGGAAGTTCGAAAAATGCAATATAACAGCGGTATGGTAGATTAAACTGGCGAAACCGCTTGGAGGATTCACCACTGATGAGACAGGCCCTCCCATTAAATTTTCCATTGCAGTAAGGGCAGTAGAAATTGTTTAATTTGTAAAAGAATCATACGCGTCTATAATAACTTCGAATTTTCACTAACAACAATACAACAACAGGTATCTATCGTAAGTTTATATGATTGAATCAATTCAAGAACACAAAGTAAACAGATCAGAAGCGTTGAAGATTATACCTCCCCAAATGATAAAGACAAGAAAGAAATATGTGTTGATTTGTGAAGCAGTCATCGGTTGTTTGGAAAGTATTAAGGACGCACACAGAGGACAGGATTCAGAAGTAAGAACCCGTGAGGAGTATTTCGGAGAGAAAAAAGAAGGACCACCCTGGGAACAACTAATGTCGAAATTACCTCGGTACGAACTGTCCTCTGATCATCAAATCCAGATGCTTTCAAACTTCATTGAATAGGACAAATTAGTACCCTGGGGAAGAAGGTGAGTGGGCGGCTACCAGAAATGTTTGTTTTTAAAAGACTGGACATATGTTTACTCACAGGGCTGTTCTTGACCATGGAATTTCTCTTTCCTTAAACTTCCACACAGGCCATCTTTATTTACATATTTCTAAATATAATTACATATGAAAAACAATAGAAAAAAATAAAAGATAAGTGGGTCAGGTGTTGATATTAAAAATAAAGAAGGCATCTCCTGACCACGAGCACATGTGCTTTTTAGACGGCAGAGCGCCATCTAGTGGAGCAAATATAAACTAAACGTTTATTTAGCTTGCTCCGTGATATTTGGCCAACCCAATTTCTTTTTGCTCCACTAGATGGCGCTCTGCCATCTAAAAAGCACATGTGCTCGTGGTCAGGAGATGCCTTCTTTATTTTTAATAATTACATATATTAACTAAAATACATTAGTATATTTCCATATTATTTACAAATATACTTCTCGTTTTATCAAATAAATATAAAATACTAACGTCTAAACCTTTCTTTACTGTGTTCTAGATACTCTTCCTACCTTATAATTAATTAGTTTTCTGCCTACTAACTATTTGACACCTCCCGTACGTCCCTAGAATACCCAATTGTAAGCCATTATACTGTGGAGAACAAAGAAAGAAAGGGGACAATCCACATTAGTAAGTATGACCATGATGAATGACCTAGTCATTTCTGACTACATTAATGAAGGGACGTCACGCAGCCTCTTCAAGTACTGGAAATGAAGAAGCACCCTCATGATGATTAATCATCTATAGAGTATTGTGCAAATAGGATCTGTATTGATATAGATTATGCAAATTTAAACCTCCGATGAGCGATCCTTCTGATGAGCTACCAGATCGCTTAGAGATCATGATGACAAAATCAGAATTTATCTTGAAATGTATTAAGAGACTATCTTTCTGTTGGATAGTCCAGGATTATCTACTTTTTGAAAGAAATCTCTATCTATTTCTCTTCCTCCTATAGATTATTTAACATTATACCTTTACTCTTATAGAGATTCATTTTTCTATAGCCACTATTTTGATGGCATTATAAGTTTTTTTTCTTCAAAATTTTCACTATTTTTCAGTCTTGACGTATCTTTTTCTTGGTTTCTCCTCCATATATTTCTTTAGAAACTTCCATTAACCCCTCTGAATAACGAACAAGATGGTCAAACATTCTGACCCCACTCCCCGTACAGTTGTTTCCAATAGCCCATATAGCTCCTCAATTATTTTTAGGAAATTTTCGTTATTTAGGTTGTCAGTTCGGTACCAGTATCATGTTCGGAAAGTTACTATTAATACCTTTGCTATATATGAAATTGTGTGTATATTGCAAATAAATATAAGTATTATGATAGCATACACCTTTATACATATGGTTAATGACTTGATTTTGTTCTGAAACTCAGTCTCTAAAAACATAATCAAACTATAATACTTCGTATTATAGTAGTTGCGAGGTGAAGATAATATAGATATAGGGTATAGAAAGATATCAACTGTATAAAATTCCTCACTCTCTTTACATACAGCAATTATAAGAATTATAAATTTATAGAGAGGAAGATACAACAAGGGTAAAATGTTATATGACTTGTAACTTTATCATGATGCAATATAGAGAAAGGCAAATACTCTATTACATATAACAGTGAATAATTATTACTCAAGAAAGAAAGTTTAGACCATGAAAATTTCATAGAGAGCATAGGTTAGGCTATGGTTGAAGATCATCATTAAAAGTATCTAAGGTAAGACCGGAAACATTGAAAATTTAGTAATTCTATATACAGTTATCAGCGTCATGCGTTCTGTCACCATTTGCTTTTGGTGGCGTGATCGTAGCGAGCCAATAGGAGAGCGCCATTCAGGTGTCACCGTTTGCTGCGCTACCACGTGGAGCGACGGTGACCTTGAGTGACGTAATGACAGGGTAGGAACAAGAAATCACTTGCTTACATTATCATATCATTTTATGTATATATCAGATTTAAAATATATTCATACAAAAAATCTAAATAATACAATTTTCAAATATCGTTGTGAAAATTTACATTTTTATTTTGTATTTTAAAAACACCCAAAGATTGAAGCGGGACGTTTCAAAAGAGTGTCATCCACGACGCCAATTTATAATTGTAAAGAATAGTATTTTAATAAAACATTTAATCGGGTAAAACCCGGGCGTTGCCCGGGTCATTCGGCTAGTAATAGAAATAAATATCAGTAAGAGAGAATACGGGAAAAACAATATACCTTGAGAAATACCCTTGGTAAATAAGAAGGAATCAAGTACAGAACCGAAGAAATTTGCTGAGAACTGAAGGCACAGGTTCAGTAGATTAGTCAAGAGTTAGGAGGCACATTACCATCTTGAGTTGAGCAATTCATTAACACGGTAATTAAAAAAGGTAGAAGGCGCTGAAGGTAAAAAAACTCTCCTTCGTTGGTGGCATTATCGCTAACGGCAGACATTAAAGAAATTAGCGCCGTGCACCAATTAGTAAGTTACGATTAGAATCGGCTGGCAAATCGGCTGTAAATAATGGTTGGGTCAATTACACGGAACGGAGTCGCTTGGGGGTACCTGCCCTCGACAGCAGCGGTCTTGTGACAGATTGGCTGGGACTTGATGGTCGTACATCTACCTGCCCTCGACAGCAGCGGTCTTGTGACAGATTGGCTGGGACTTGATGGCCGTACATCTACCTGCCCTCGACAGCAGCGGTCTTGTGACAGATTGGCTGGGACTTGATGGCCGTACATCTACCTGCCCTCGACAGCAGCGGTCTTGTGACAGATTGGCTGGGACTTGATGGTCGTACATCTACCTGCCCTCGACAGCAGCGGTCTTGTGACAGATTGGCTGGAACTTGATGGCCGTACCTGCCCTCGACAGCAGCGGTCTTGTGACAGATTGGCTGGGACTTGATGGCCGTACATCTACCTGCCCTCGACAGCAGCGGTCTTGTGACAGATTGTCTGGAACTTGATGGTCGTACATCTACCTGCCCTCGACTGCAGCGGTCTTGTGACAGATTGGCTGGGACTTGATGGCCGTACATCTACCTGCCCTCGACAGCAGCGGTCTTGTGACAGATTGGCTGGGACTTGATGGCCGTACATCTACCTGCCCTCGACAGCAGCGGTCTTGTGACAGATTGGCTGGGACATGATAGTCATACATCTACATGCCCTCGACAGCAGCGTTCTTGTGACAGATTGGCTGGGACTTGATGGTCGTACATCTACCTGCCCTCAACAGCAGCGGTCTTGTGACAGATTGGCTGGGACTTGATGGCCGTACATCTACCTGCCCTCGATAGCAGCGTCTTGTGACAGATTGGCTGGGACTTGATGGCCGTACATCTACCTGCCCTCGACAGCAGCGGTCTTGTGACAGATTGTCTGGGACTTGATGGCCGTACATCTACCTGCCCTCGACAGCAGCGGTCTTGTGACAGATTGGCTGGGACTTGATGGCCGTACATCTACCTGCCCTCGACAGCAGCGGTCTTGTGAAAGATTGGCTGGGACTTGATGGTCGTACATCTA